TCATCACTCTGTGTGCTTCCTTGGGTGTCTGTCAAAAAGCAAAAAAGAAAAAGCAAAAAAAAAAAAAAGCAAATGCGTACAAAGTAACTATCACAAGATGCTTAGTGGTCTGCAATTTGACTGACATTTTAAAAAACTGTTGAAGATTCAATGTTGCCTTTCATAAGCCTTACAATAGATGATGTGACTTTGAGTCAATGGTGATTGAGCAAAGCTCAGCCTGACCTTAGATGTTCTGCAATGCTTTTAAAAAGCATTAGAAAAGGGAATCAACAAGATTCAGGGAAGTGAAATTCTCTCAAGTCATTTCCCATCAGTCTTGCTCAGCATTTCTTGGAACGAAGGGGGAAAAAACTGGACTAATCAGCAATGTCAATAACCATAAAAAATATACCATAGCACACAAAAAAGCCCACCCCACCACCTCTGCCTATGTTTTAGAAACAGAGGCACCTTCTACACTGCCATATAATTATCAAAGTAGATAATTCAAATTACCATATATACTCAAGTATAAGGCGGGTTTTTCAGCCTTTTTTTAAGGCTGAAAAAGCCCCCCTTGGCTTATACTCGAGTCAAAGTTATTTATTCTTTTATTCTGTTGTTGTTATTATTATTATTATTACATTTAATATTTTACTCTATTTATTATTATTACATTTAAATTATTTTACTATATTATTATTTTATTACATGTATTATTTTATTCTATTTATTATTATTATTACATTTATTATTTTATTTTATTATTATATTTATTATTTTACTCTATTATTACTGTTATTATTTCATTTCCATTATTTTATTCTATTATTATTTTTATTACATTTATTATTTTACTCTCTTTATTATTATTGGACGGATACGTAAGCACATTTTCATTGAAGAAGGTTAGAATAATGGTTTAATCAGTTGGACAGTCTTATCTTAAATTAGTTTGATGTCAATATTCAAAAACATTTAACCTACTGATGCCTTAATTAATGTAATAATTTTGGTATCTATTTTTATTTTGAAATTGACCAGTAGCTGCTGCATTTCCAACCCTTGGCTTAGACTCGAGTCAATATGTTTTCCCAGGTTTTTGTGGTAAAATTAGGTGTTTCGGCTTATATTCGGGTCGGCTTATGCTCAAGTATATATGGTATCTGCTTTGAACTAGATTATATGAGCCCACACTGCTATGTAATCTAGTTCAAAGCAGATAATCAGGATTTTATATGGCAGTGTAGAGGGGGCCAAAGAAGATGAGAGATGCACCTAGCATTTGAGATCAATAAATTTAAAAGGTGTAACTGTTCTCTCTGTGGTAGCATGAAATCCATTAGTCAAGCCCTTCGCCTAAAAGGAGGACACAAGACAGTCATTATAATTCAAAAAGCTATGTCAGAAAAATCCAGCAATTTCTGAGAACATCTGAAAGTGGTACAAAGTGCATGAATGACCCAAAACAGACCTTATTAAAAGCCTTGGTCCCCCATAACACAACTTCCTATTTCCCAAGCAACAACAAAAAAAAACTTTCAACGTCTCCTCAGCACAAGCAAGAAGAAAACTTCCCCAAAACTTCTAGGCTGTGAGTTGTTTAAGACTACACACCTTAAAGTCCTCTTCTGTGACCAGAAGTAAGAGAGCTCTGTGGCACACTTTCTACAGCATGTACTTTTGTGCATTACAACTCATTTCATTGGGAGCACAGAGTATTATCCAAAATATCTGCTTTTATGTACAATGTATTAGAATATCTGTAGTTCCAGTAACAGTTCGAGAATAGAGCAATGCTAATCACTATTTTCTACATTTAATTTCCCTTTGACCTGTTTGGCTATGATTCCTGCTCCAAATATATACAGAGATTGGCTGATATCCTGTGTGTGTGCATAGTTCAGCATCCCACTTTTGTGTTCTCCCAACACCAGGCAGCTGTTGCATACAAGTGGGGAAGGATGAGAGGAAGAACGTAGTCCAGGACTTGGAGAAGCAGCTGATCTCATCTTTGTCCCAGGGAGAGAAATGAGGCTGCGTTCTCAAATGGCACGCACCCACCTTTCCCTGGAGGCCTCAAAGCATCCAGATATTTACACCTCTGCCAAAACCACCTCTGTCTCCCTTAATTCTCCATTAGTATGCAAAAGCCAATTAGGGTCTCTCTCAGGATGTGATGGCTGCCAGGTAGTGGGAAGGTTTGTCAGAAATATTAAAAATTAACTGGGTATTTTTTATTACAAAAGTGTGAGTCAAGCTGAAATAGTAGGCTGAAGCCTGTTAGAGTCAGTGGACCAGAGTTAGTGTCATCCTGAGGAGAGTGAGCAGACTAAAGCCTGTTAGAATTAGTGGGTCAAAGAAAGTGTTGTCCTGAGGAGTGTGAGGTAAACCTGTGTGAGAGAAGCCTTGTGTGAAAAAGCTCCAGTGTGAAGGCTGCTGCGTGTAAAACTACTAGAATCATAGAGTTGGAAGAGACCTCATGGGCCATCCAGTCCAACTCCCTGCCAAGGAGCAGGAATGTTGCATTCAAATCACCCCTGACAGATGGCCATCCAGCCTCTGTTTAAAAGCTTCCAAAGAAGGAGCCTTCACCACACTCTGTGGCAGAGAGTTCCACTGCTGAACGGCTCTCACAGTCAGGAAATTCTTCCTCATGTTCAGATGGAATCTCCTTTCTTGTAGTTTGAAGCCATTGTTCCCTGTCCTAATCTCCAGGGAAGCAGAAAACAAGCTTGCTCCCTCCTCCCTGTGGCTTCCTCTCACATATTTATACATGGCTATCATATCTCCTTTCAGCCTTCTCTTCTTCAGTCTAAACATGCCCAGCTCTTTAAGCCGCTCTTCATAGGGCTTGTTCTCCAGACCCTTGATCATTTTAGTTGCCCTCCTCTGGACACATTCCAGCTTGTCAATATCTCAATTATATGTGTTAGCTTATTTGTGTTATGGAAACCTAGTTCTTGTAAATAGTGTAACTATATTGTTTTAGTACAAAGAAAAGCCTCCTGTGGAAAAGATAACATTGCTCTGTGTTTTTTGTTGTTCTTTTTATCACTTTGGGCTACTGATGCTGAGTCACACTGCTGCTAATAAGTTACTCTGCTGTACATTTATGAGGAGGGTCTTTTGTTAATAAGCCCACTTGCGCAACAAGGTTTTGGATGGAGTGCAAGGGTGAATCAATAACCCAAACACCACAACCAAAATGGGGCTTACTGTATATACTCATATATAAGTCTAGACCCCAAAAACCTGGGTCAGCTTATCTACCGGTCAATGTGAACCTTAGTTCTTGTCAAGGTGTAATCTCCTTCTCTGAGTAGAGCAGCAAATGGCAAGAGCTTAGTCCATCCTAGGAGAACCTAAAAGAAACTCCAACTTCCTCTATTTTCTCAACTGTGACACTATATCTGGTCTTATTTAATGTCTGGGTCTGGAAATAGCGGTGGTGGCCTGGGGCCATTGGCCCCCTGAGGTATTTTCTCCATGGAATTACTCTTGACTTTTCCATGGCTCATACCTGTTGGAATTCAACCCCACACTGCCCAAGTCTCAAGTCCTCAACCAGGAGAAGTTAGTTAGCATTAGAATAGTCTGAGGGTTTCCCTTCCCCCATGTCTCCTAAATGTCTGTTGGAATGTATCTAATTTCTTTTCTCCTCTCTGTTTCTGCTCTCATTCTAATTGGTTGTTTAAAATGGATGCTTTTCTACTGCAGCCTTTTAAAATCTGATTTTTGCCTTCTTACACTTTTAGTATGGAGAGTATGTGTTGTGTGCTTTGAGATCTCTCTCTACTTGTGTGTCAGGAGAGATGTAGTTACTGAGTTTTTGACTCTTGAAACCTTAGAAGAGATGGGTGTTAGAGTAGCTAAGACCCAGTTCTTGATTATTAAGGAATGCAGTTATTTCTTATTATTGTAAATAAACCTTTTGTGGTTTTTAAAGATTGGACTCTGTATGTTTGCCTCCGAAGCTCTGAATTCTTTACAGCCACATCACATGGCACCTCACACTTTGCCCGCTAATGAATGCTCAACTTTTGTATCTTGTTTATGTTTTGGATGCTGCATATTTTAGGGTAATTTCCCCTAATAATATCAAAATCCTTAATTTTGCCCCAAAAACTTGTCCTAGGCTTACACATGAGGTCAACTGATACATGAGAATACACAGCAAGTCTGCAATCACGGGATCACAGAATTATGGAGTTGGAAGACACCACAAGAGCCACAGAGTGAAGACAGGGGCCAGGAAGACAGCTCCACCTTGTCTCCTGCACTGTGCTAATAATATAATAATATAATATAATATTGATAATATTATGATGTAATACAATATAATACTAATAATATGATATTACAATTATATATTTTATATTACATGTAATATTACGAATAATCTTACAGTATAATGGTATAGTACGACATAGTAATATAGAATACTAGTATTGTGCTATGGTAATAATATAATATATTGTATGTATATATATCTTGTAAGCTGCTCTGAGTCCCCTTTGGGGTGAGAAAGGCGAAATATAAATGTAGTAAATAAATAAATAGTTCAACCCCCTACTGTGCAGGACTACACAACTAAATCACACCAAGGGGATAGCCATCAACTCTTGTTTAAAGACATCCAAGGAGAGTCAACTGCTCTTTGAGACAGTCTACTGCCAAACAGTTCTTACAGTAAACAAGTTATTAATGTTTAGACAGAGCCTCTTTACTTGTAACTTGAATTCAGCCTCTTGTAATTTAAATCTTGTCTTTGAAGCAACAAAAGCAAGATCACTTCTTCTCAATTCAGGATGCCAGCATGAGTAAGTGTGCACATATGTAAAGAAACAAGCAAAATCCCACAGTCCCCAATAGCTCGTGCTGTAATAAATGCTTTCGCTTCTGTTGTTTTTTGTTGGAAGAGCGCAATGTAAGTACCCCTTTTTGAACTTCTACTTTCCAAGCCACTGATAAATTCTCCAGTAACAATGTTATCTCTCGCACCCAATACAACATACCTTCAGCCGCATCCGTGCGAGGACTGTTTGCCTTTTCGTTCGCTGGCTCGGCTGCTTCAGTGGCCAGTGATGTGGTCGCTCTAGAGAAGTCACTGGCACCTTCGCTGCGGCTTGTTTCAGGGACGCTTTCTCTGGAACTAAAGCGGACGCGGGAGCTGGAGCGAGAGCTGAGATCCGGGCTGGTGTCAGACAGGCCTGGAATATCATCAATTTTGGTGGGAGTAACCATGAACCGGACTGAAGCCATCTCGGCAGCAGGAACGAACGGGGCAGAAACAGTATGACTGCCCTGATAACTATAACCCGCTGTTGGCTGGAGCGCTAAGTAGTAAGAGGAAGGAGAGCTTTCAAAAGGGCAAAGATGCCAACCCTGTTACCAAGTACTCCCTTGAGAGAAAGACTCATGTCTTAGCACTGATTGACGAATCGACTAATACACTGTGGTGTCTAGACAGCAATGATTATCAGGTATATTTTCCAAAAGCATGACCAAAGCTGGTGAGATGGTGAACACTCATGATTTTGTAGGCAAATTTTTCACGGGTGATTAGTCCAAAGATTCCCATTTATCAGGCAGCAAAGGTAAGGTTTTTTTTCTTCCCAAAGGCAGCCTACAGATCCAAGCAAAAAGGCGGTTGTAAACGATGTATACTAAATTTCTGTCCTTGATGTTTACCCCAAAGAGGCAAAAACCCTGGTGGAAAGTCCTGCTTGTTAGGTCAAAAATATTTTTGGCACAGCAAAATGCATAGAGGTAATTTCTTCTGAGCGCAAATATTTTTTTCCCCCAAAGCGTGCAAAAAGGCTACAGGGTACCTGGTGAAAGTAAGGTTACAATCCACTGTGTTTGCAGGGCGACATGCCAAAAAAGATGGGTGAATTTTCGTTGCAAATACTCCTTACAATCCTGTTGCAGAAAACAATGAAAGGCTTCTTATCTCAAAAGGCGGAGGCTGTGTATCACAGTGTCCCATGCAAGAACAGTAAAAACAGATTCCTTAAGATAGTGCTGTCCCTGTCAAAGGATTGAGAATTACTCCACAGGCTCTTCTTGGTGGTGTTTCAAAAGTCCTGGCAGGAGAAGATAACCGTTGGATGAGGCCTAGTGCAGGGGAATCAACAGCCTCTCATAATCGCATGAGGGAATATTAGGGTCCTGGAGAAACAAAGTGAAAACATTGTTGTTGTTTGTCTATCACAAGGGTTTTCTTGGCACAAATAGTTTAGAGTTTGCCTTTGCTTTCCTCTGAAGCTGAGAGAGCATGCCTTGCCTAAGGTCACCCAGTAGCTTTCCATGGGTGCATCTATAATGTAAAATTAATACAGACTGACACCACTATAGGATCATGGTAATTGTAGTCTTTAGCTTTCTCTGTCAAATAGTACCGGTGCCTCATCAAACCATAATTTCCAATATTCCGTAGCATTGAGCCAGTGTTTTCAAACTGCATTCATTCTACAGTGCAGATCAGATATGGGCAGGCCCAGGGAACGGATGCAGTCCCTTGGGCTCTTTTCTCAGGTCCTCCTCTCTCTCACCATCCCATCCTTCTTTCCTTCTCTCTTTCCTTCCTCCTTCCCTTCCTTCCAACTTTTCATCCTTCCCTCCTTCCGCCCTTCCTTCATTCTCTTTCCTTCCTCCTTACCTCCCTCACTTCCCTCCCTTTTTCTCCTTCCATCCTTCCCTTCCACCATTTCGTCCTTCCCTCCCTCTCTCCCTCTTTCTCCTTCCTTCCTTCCCTTTTGTCATTCTTTCCTTCTATCTTTCCTTAATCCTTCCCTTCCTTTCTTCCATTCTTCTCTTCATCCCTTCCTTCCTTCTCTTTTGCCTTTCTCCCTCCCTCCCTTCTCTTCTACCATTTCATCATTCCTTCCCTCTTTCCTCCCTCCTTCCTTCCCTTTCTCCTTCCATCCTTCCCTTCCTCCCTTTCATTCTTCCTTACCTCCCTCACTTCCCTCCCTCTTTCTCCTTCCATCCTTCCCTTCCACCATTTCGTCCTTCTTCCTTCCCTCTTTCCTCCCTCTCTCCCTATTTCTTCTTCCTTCTTTCCCTTTTGTCATTCTTTCCTTCTATCTTTCCTTAATCCTTCCCTTCCTTTCTTCTATTCGTCTCTTCATCCCTTCCTTCCTTCTCTTTTGCCTTTCTCCCTCCCTTCCTCCCCTTCTACCATTTCATCCTTCCTTCCCTCTTTCCCCCATCCCCCCCTTTCTCCTTCCATCCTTCCCTTCCTCCCTTTCATTCTTCCTTCCTTCCCTTCCTCCCTTTCCACCCTTTCGTCCTTCCCTCCTTTTTGTCTTTCTTCCATCCTTGTCTCTTTCTTTCCTTCTTACCTCCCTTCCCTCTCTCTTTCTCCTTCCATCCTTCTCTTTCCTTCCATCACCAGGCAGCCAGTCCTCCTAGCAGGGAGTGCTAGAATGCGGAATCCCAAGTTTGAAAGTTTGCCCATGTCTCGTGCAGATATACCCTTAGTCAAGCCAGCCTCATGACCTTGGAGGTGTCTACGGACAACGCCGGCTCTTCGGCTTAGAAATGGAGATGAGCTCTACACCCCAGAGTCGGATACGACTGGACTTAATGTCAGGGGAAAACCTTTACCTTTACCGGAATCATAGTCCAAATAGACAATACTAATGTGCGCTCTCTCTCTCTCTCTCTCTCTATATATATATATATATACTCTGTGTGTGTGTATGTGTGTGTGTGTGTGTGTATATATATATATATAGTCTCAAACAAACACGAAACTGCAGAGATGAGTCATTTCTACACAGGGTTCAACAAGGTTCCCATACTTTGGAGCCCATTTGTTATCTCATGGGGCACTTGGATAGGTTCAAGATGAAAGAATTCACAAAAAATATGACCAAACAGGTCACACTATTGCTTTTAAAGCACCCAAAAATGTCAGTCAGTAAGGATGTCTTTTTTAAAATAGCAAAATGCACAGAAATCAGGAAGCTAAAAGAAAAAGAAAGATTTGCTTTAGCAAATTTAAACAGCAAGCACATAAAAGGAGGCACATGTACAAGACACTGGCAAGCAAGATGATGATGTAAGAGTGAGAATGAGCACCAAAATGGGTGTATCAATGAAGGGGAAAAAATTCATTTGACTTATATCCTACTTTCCTCCCAAATGGGGCACAAAGTTACCAAATTTTCCTTCAGTCTCCTTTCTGTCTTCCTCATTTCACATATAACCTACAATTTCCTCCCAAATGGGATTCAAAGTGTCAAATTTTCCTTCGAACTAGAATCTAGCATTACGGTAGCTTAAAATTTGAGTATCCAAAGAAAAGAGGCAAACAAAATAACCAAGGGTATACAAACACAGGAGTATTCCTTAGTCAAAAAATTCTCTAAAATATTCCAAAATTGTAGTTAAGACAATGACAGAAACTGATATTTCTAAAACACAGTTTGTTAAAAATGCTGGGTATTAAACTGTGAAGAGGCCACCAGTTTGTAACGGTTTGTAAAGGAGCTATCACTTTGTAAGGACTTACTAAATTGATAACACAACTAATGGCTTGTAATATTGAACTGGTCTTTCTTCAATGTGTAGCATGGCTTAACTTGGAAGTATTTGTAACAGAGACTTAACTTTAGAAGAAACTATAACAAGTTTAATGAAGTATAGAAGAAGCTTGATAGTTTCAATGTTTCTTAGCTCTTAGAAACACATTTCTTCAGAGGTTACATTTAATACATTTCATAAAACAACTCTTAAGAGAATTATTCCTTTCACTAAACAGGTTTTAAACTTATTCTCCTTCAAAATGTGTTTCTTTAATAGATTACTTCAGGTAAAAGTTTATCCTTTCCTCATGTTGTTTCTGTTGCAGTATAGATTCTTATTAGGGTTCTCTCCCCCTTTTGCTCATACACTGACTAATAATATAAATAAGTCAACTAGACCTATCTAAACTACACAGGCTAAAAGCCTAAACCCTCCTGATTATCAACACAGTAGAATCAGCTTTTCCCTGTAGTTCTTAGACTACAGACTACTTTTCTGGTTCTCAACACACAACAGAACCAGCCTTCCCTGTAGTTCGCTGACTACAGACTAACTGTTTTAAAATGGCTGCCTTGCCAAGTGGCAGTTGGCTCTCCCCCTTTTCCATGGCAACCCAGCTCAAGGTGAGCTAAACTGACTACCATCCTCCCCAGTTATGCTAGGTTAAATACTCTTTTTAAACACCTATCTATAATTATACATAACGGTAGATTAAAATTCACACTTCCACACAAACGAATAGGTGTATAAGGTGTACATGAAACATAAATAAATTCTGAGCTTAGTACTGCGTCATACCATATATGTAAGTATTCCAAAATCATGAAAAATAAACTCCAAAATACAGAACACTTTGGGTCCCAAGCATTTTGGCTAAGGGATACTCAATCTATATAAGGTTCTTCCGATTCTATGGCTGGGTCTGTTCTGACCACATAATGTACACCGTTTAAACTCCATTCTATGGCAGTGTAGATCCAGCTTATGATTCTAAGTCTGAATGGTTTTCAATATCTCATTCTCTAAAATGCTAGTAGGGAGAAAGAACTCTTGTCTGCTTGAGGCAAGTGTGAATGTTGCAATTGGCCACATTGATTAGCCTTATAGCTTCAAAGCCTGGCTGGTTGCTGCCTTGGGGAGATCCTTTGTTGGGAGCTGTTAGCTGGCCCTGATTGATTCTTGCTTGGAATTCCCCTGGATTTTTTTAGTGTTGTTTTTTTTATTTACTGTCCTGATTTTAGTTTTTTAGGGCCATTCAATGCTAATCAAAGTGGCCGATTGCAACATTCACACTTGCCTCAAGCAGACAAGAGTTCTTTAGTTCTCCCAGAATGGATATTTCACAGAGATATAAACTTCGCTTACCTAGTTTCCAACAGACCTCACAACCTCTGAGGATGCCTGCCATAGATGTGGGCAAAATGTCAGGAGGGAATGCTTCTGGAACATGGCCATATAGCCCAGAAAACTCACAGCAACCCAGGGATTCCAGCCATGAAAGCCTTCGACAACAGACCTCACAACCTCACATTGATGGGATGCTTCTAATCGAATCATTTCTTTCTCCCACCCTGGATGTTATTCCACAGATATATAACACGTTTAATGTCCAACAAACTTCACAACCTCTGAGGATGCCTGCCATAGATGTGGGTGAGACGTCATGGGAGAATGCCTCTGGAACATGGCCATACAGCCCGGAAAACTTACAACAACCTATTATTATTATTATTATTATTATTTACAAAATTTATATGCCTCCCTTCTCACCCCGAAGGGGACTCATGAGCAGCTTACAAGTTATATGTACATACAATATAGTATATTATTAGCATAGCACAATATTCGTATTATATATTACTATACTGCACTATACCACTATATTGCAATATTATTAGCAATATAAAAATTAAAATTATTATATTGTATTATTATTATTATTATTATTATTATTATTATTATTATATAGAATCATAGAATCAAAGAGTTGGAAGAGACCTCATGGGCCATCCAGTCCAACCCCCTGCCAAGAAGCAGGAATATTGCATTCAAATCACCCCTGACAGATGGCCATCCAGCCTCTGTTTAAGAGCTTCCAAAGAAGGAGCCTCCACCACACTCCGGGGCAGAGAGTTCCACTGCTGAATGGCTCTCACAGTCAGGAAGTTCTTCATGTTCAGATGGAATCTCCTTTCTTGTAGTTTGAAGCCATTGTTCCGCGTCCTAGTCTCCAAGGAGGCAGAAAACAAGCTTGCTCCCTCCTCCCTGTGGCTTCCTCTCACATATTTATACATGGCTATCATATCTCCTCTCAGCCTTCTCTTCTTCAGGCTAAACATGCCCAGCTCCTTAAGCCGCTCCTCATAGGGCTTGTTCTCCAGACCCTTGATCATTTTAGTCGCTTTCCTCTGGACACATTCCAGCTTGTCAATATCTCTCTTGAATTGTGGTGCCCAGAATTGGACACAATATTCCAGGTGTGGTTTATTTATTTATTTATTTATTTACTCTGCTTGTATACCGCAGTTTCTCAGCCCGTAGGCGATTCAACGCGGTTCACAACAAGAGCAAAAGACATCCAACAACATACAATATTAAAACCATTAACAGTATAAAATACAAACTAATGACATCTCAATAACAACACATTAACGTCTCGTAACTAAAATTAATGTATTTTTATTGATATCTAGTTTTATTTTGAAATTGACCAGTAGCTGCTGCATTTCCAACCCTCGGCTTATATTCGAGTCAATACCTTTTCCCGAATATAAGCCTCGTCTTATATTCGGGTCGGCTTATACTTGAGTATATACGGTATGTTAATCTCATAAGCAAACATTACATTTGTACTTATATAGATTATTGAAAACAATAATAATTTGCTATCCCATTCATGACTCGAGGCGGGGTACAACACTGTCAAAAAATACATATAAAACCCAATTATCACTGAGGGGGCCTGCACTCTGCACATTCTCAGGAGTTATAGTGCATAGATTAAAATACATAGGATACAACACTGCAAAAAATTTTAAAAAATACTAGGTAAAGTTAGAATTATTAGTTTTAAAATGAACTAGGGGGAGGAAATGGTCCCCAGAAGCCAAAACAAAACCATAAAGAGATGAACCATGGAGAGGACAGGGAAAAGCAAAGGTAGAGAGAGGGGAACAGTACAGGTGTATCATGCAGAAAGGGGGAAGGGGGCGCAGTGCGCATGCGCCGGGCTCTCCGTTCGCTCCCTTCTTTGCCCCCGCCCACCCCTGAAGGCAAGCCCCTGGGAGAGAAAAGTCCGTTAAGGCTGGAGCCGTTAAGGGTTTACCTGAGCCGCGCGCGCAGCTTGGCTTTCCCTCTGCCCAGGCGTTCTAAATAGGAGCGCCTCGCGCGCGCACGCTTTGCTTGCTTGCTTGCTTGCTTGCCTTGCTTTCCTCGCGGCTCCGTGTGCGCACGCGCGGGCCAGCCGTTGCTCTCGGGTTGCTTGCTGCGGCTCAGAACTCTCTCTTTTTTTTTTTCTTTCCTCTGGCTTTCGCTTGTCCTCATCTTCTCCCTCTTGCGCATGCGCACAAGCAAGGAGCCGCTACTGTTGCTTGGATGCTTCTCCCCTCTTTTTCCCTTTGAAAACAAAGGGGAGGGGGGTGGCCAAGAGAGGGCCCACGGACGCGCTAGGGTTGCTGGGAATTGTAGTTCTTATTCTCTGAGGGGGCAATTGAGGATACTGTATTAATCCAGGCCAAGGAAATGCTGTAAATTGAGAGTGGTGTTGCCATAAATAACAAACAGTTATTCAAAGCACCTACAAAAAAAAATAAATAGATGGCCTTTATCTTATCTTATATGTATATGTGTGTATGCATATATATATATATATATATATATATATATATATATATATATATATGTTTGTTTGTGGGATTAACATAACTCAAAAATCACTGGACCAATTGACACCACATTTGGACACAATTATACCTCTCAGGCCAACGAGTGACCATCACTCCTAAAAACACACCAAAAAACCAACAGAAGAGACTTAAAATTCCAAAAAAAAACACAAAAATTACATTACAATGCATGCGCAAAACCACATATATATATGCAAACACATTTACACAAATATATAGGGCCCTGAGATGACGCTAAAAACACATTTCAAAGACTCAGGGCCCTTCCACAAAGCCATATAACCCAGAATATCAAGGCAGAAAATTCCACACTATCTGCTTTGAACTGGGTTATCTGAGTCCACACTGCCATATATCCCAGTTCAAAGCAGATAATGTGAGATTTTATATGGCAGTGTAGAAGACATTGATCTCAACCACCTATGTGGATTATTTTGGATTTCGGAATCGTGGGAAAGGACAATGCCCAAACTATACTAAACTGACACCCTCATCCAGACTACTAGCTGTTGTTCATTCATTCAGTCGTCTCCGACTCTTTGTGACCTCATGGACCAGCCCACGCCAGAGCTCCCTGTCGACCGTCACCACCCCCAGCTCCTTCAAGGTCAGTCCAGTCACTTCAAGGATGCATCCATCCATTTTGCCCTTGGTCGGCCCCTCTTCCTTTTGCCTTCCACTTTCCCCAGCATAAATGTCTTCTCTAGACTACTAGCTACAACTCCCATTATCCCCCACCTTCAGCTTTGCTGACGTCAGTTATGCCACATTCCTCCCTACTCTAAGTGATCTGTCCCATCATCCCCATATTTTGAACCAAATTTGGTTAGAATACAAACAAATACAGATGACATGCAGTCTTCCAACCTACTCATGGACCATAAATGAAAGAAACTAGGTGTGCCTCCTTCATCTCATGGCCAATGACTGTGTGCATCATTTATTTCAGGCATGGGCCAACTTGGGCCCTCCAGATGTTTTGGATTTCAACTCCTACAATTCCTAACAGCCTACCGGCTGTTAGGAATTGTGGGAGTTGAAGTCCAAAACACCTGGAGGGCCCAAGTTGGCCCATGCCTTTTTTAAAAGATATTTTTATTATGTTATACACACAGATCAGTAAGCCAAATTCCAAGTGTTACACATATAAAACCTGAATAATTCAACAAATATTAAAGGCATTATTCTAGTTTACACTGGTGTATATTACCTTATCTCCACCTTCCCTCCCTCTCCCCCCTCCCTCTTCAACCACAGTATATTTCTAGCTAATCTTGCAGATCCAGCCACTGGTAGAGTCTTTGTATTTTTTCTTTGATGTGATCGTTGGCTCCTCCATTTTTCACCCAGTTGAAGTAGACCTTCCATCTATTTGTAATGATCATTTTTTTGTTCATTCTTGGTGTTTGCTTAGTCATAATTCCCGTAATGTCTAACAGCACTTGGTCATACATATAATCATTCCAATTAGTTAACGTCCATTTCGATTTGTCTTTCCATCCTCTAGCAATCACCGCATGGGCTGCTCTTATTGTTACCTTAAATAACTCCTGGCAATTAGTTATTATACTCAGATGATCCAACACTCCCCAAAGTAGCAAATCATTATTAATTTGAATTCTTATCTGGAATATCTCCTGAATTTTTCCTTGTATCATTTGCCAGAATTTTTTTATTTCAGAACACTCCCACCACATGTGTGAATAAGTACCTTTTTCTTTATTACAATGCGAACACTTCGAATTCTTTCCTTTTCACATATAAGGCAATTGTTCAGGAGTTCTATACCATCTTAATATCATCTTTTTTTCTCATTCATTATATTTTTCTATTTTTATTTTATTCATGTTCCTAATTATTTCCTCTATTTCTTTTTTGCAATGATTTAACTCCATTCCATTTGTTACTTATTGCTCTAATCATAAACTCTTTATCTTCTACCATTAAATTATATATTTTTGCCACTGTTCCTTTACTTGTCTTTTCTCTTGCATTTAGCAATTTATCTACCTTTAGTTCTTCAGTGGGTTTTGCACCCTCTTTTTTTACTTTTTCCCAAATCCCTCTTAATTTTAACCAATTTTCTTCCCCCCCCCCCTTTTCCAAAAACTCTGGCCAATTAATTATCTCTCCATCTTGTTTCCACATATCTTTTACCCTCCTTAATCCCTTTTCTTCTAAGTTATTTGCTAACCTTTCAGGGAGTCCCATGCTCTTAACTAGGGTCTTTCCTGATATTTTATATGAAGTTGGCCCATGCCTAATTTATATGAATATTTCAGCTTCTAGAAATGCCACAAACATTCAATATTTCCCCACTGAAGGATGTATGTTTCATTGTTTACACACCCTTTTTGGGGGAAAAAGTTTTTCTCACTTTGAACAGCATGGCAAGACATGTTAGGTGCTCTATTAGGACTTGGGATAGGTATCCTCCGCATCACAAAATAAACAGAAGACTGTTTATTGCCTTTTTATGGGCTTCCCCACTTCTGTGGTTTTACAGGCAGGATGTGAACAAGGAGGAGGCATTTTAAAGAGCTATCCTTGGTCTCAGAGCAGTCGTAAACATCCCCGACTTGAGGGAGGAAATGATGCAGAGGGAGGTAGAAATAACAAAATATGGAATTAATAATTAAACTGTCACCTTAATATTACTTCTCTGGTTCCAACCTAGGCTGAGTCACTAGGAATTGGAAAGACACATTTGGCTGAATTGCAACATAAATAATACAACATGTAATACATGCAAGGGATACATTCTTGCATGGATAGACACAATCAAATTAGTGAATTGTATTGAAATGAAAGCCTTATGGCCCAGGAATATGATAAAGTTGCACTGGAAGACCAAGAAAATGCACAGAGAGGTCTTAGTTTGGTCATTAGTGAAAACCATAGGTCCTATGGATATGAGGATCATTCCAAACTGTAGTATAATGTAAGGAAAGGCACACCCTAGATTTTTAACTTTATTGTCTACTTTCCTAAGATTTTTAATTTTTTATTTTTTGATCTTCTCATGTGATACAGTAGCAATGCCTTGCCAATTAATAACTTGATTTTCCACTCAGAGAAAATAGCAAAATTGTTTATCAAAATCACGAAAGGCTACAGCACATGACTGATGAGCATTACTTCACCTAGTAGATCACAAGATATGCTGGCCTGATTTGGACAAAAAAAGGATAAACCACTGAAGCAAGAGGCTAGCATTACCACTCACTGTTTCTTGATATTCTCTGACATGCACAAAATAATGCTTATTTTGTCTTTTTTTTTTCCAGTTGAAGCCATCACTTTCATTTGATACAATTTGAAGTGGCTGCAGATCGTCTTTCAGAAAGAAGGGCAAAGTAGTGACATCCTTAAAAGCACAGGCCAAACGAACTGAGAACAAAGGTTTATATTATTGTTCATAGTTGGTGAACTCCCAAGTTTTCCTTCTTCAAATATTGAGGCCACAGAAGTCATGAACCCCTTTATATTTGGAACTAGCTGTACCCGCCATGCTTTGCTGTGGCCAATCTTCCCTGCCTCTTTCTCTCTTTTTTTTCCTACCCTTCCTTCCCTCCCTCTTTCCTTCCCTCCCTCCTTTTCTTTCCCTTCTTTTTTTTCTTCCTTCTCTACCTGTTTCTTTTCTCGCTTCCTTTGCTCTTTGGTTCCATTCTTCCTTGTCTCTTCCCTTCCTTCTTTCCCTCCCTCTTTCTCTCTTTCGTTCCTTCTCTCCTTCCTTCCCTCTTTCACTTTTTTTCACTTTTTTATTTCCTTCTCTCCTTCCCTCCTTCTTTCCCTCCTTCTCTTCTTCCTTCCATCTCTACCCTTCTTTCCTTCCTTCTCTCCTTCCCTCCTTCTCTTCTCTCCCTCTTTCTCTCCTTCCTTCTCTACTTACTTCCTTCTCTACCCTTCTTTCTTTCCTTGTCTCCCTTATTTTCTCCCTCCTTCCCTCCTTCTCTCCTCTCCCTCTTTCTCCTTCCTTCTCTACTTACTTCCTCCTCTCCCCTTCTTTCCTTCCTTCTCTCCTTCCCTCCTTCTCTTCTCTCCCTCTTTCTCTCCTCCTTCTCTACTTACTTCCTCCTCTACCCTTCTTTCCTTCCTTCCCTCCTTCTTTCTCTTCTCTCCCTCATTTTCTCCCTCCTTCGCTCCTTCCTTCTCTACCCTTCTTTCTTTCTTTCCTTCTCTCCTTCCCTCCTTCTTTCTCTTCTCTCCCTCATTTTCTCCCTCCTTCACTCCTTCCTTCTCTATCCTTCTTTCTTTCCTTCCTTCTCTCCTTCCCTCCTTTTCTCCCCTTCCTTCCTTTCTTCTCTAGCCTTTTTTCCTTCCCTCTTTCTCTCCCTCTTTCTTCCTTCCCCCTTTCTGTCTGTGTTTTGTGTGTGTGTGTATGCATATGTGTGTATGTGTATGTTTGCCTAAATGTGTGGTTTTGCGCTTGCGTTGTAATGTAATTTTTGGGGTTTTTTTGGCTTTTTAAATCCCTTCTGCTGTGTTTTTCCGTGTTTTTATGAGTGAAGGACATACATTGGGTTGTTGGGTGTCTTGTGTCCAAATTTGGTGTCAATTTGTCCAGTGGTTTTTGAGTTCTGTTAATCCCACAAACGTACATTACATTTTTATTTATATAGATAATGCACAGCATACTCCATCAAGCCGTTTACCTGATTGTATCTCCTTCTATGAACCATCAAGGAGTTTAAGATCATCAGGGGAGGCCCTGCTCTCGCTCTCACCACCCTCGCAAGTGCGACTGATGTAGACAAGAGACAGGACCTTCTCACTAGTGGCTCCTTAGCTGTGAAACTCCCTCTCAAACGAGTTCATATCTGCCCCCTTCCTCCCGACCTTTCAGAAAAAACTTAAAACCTGGCCTTTGAGCAATAGATACAGCGATTTGAATGAGAATGGGTGGGATAGAAATAGTGTAAATAAATAAATAAATGACCTATGCGATTGGCAATGGACTGATTTTAAACTGGTGGAATTTAAATTTTTAAATGTTGAATGTTTATATGTTTTTAATTGTTGTTTCAATTATGATTGTTTAATTAATGTTTGGCATCTAATGGTTGTCTATTGTAAAGCTGCCCCCAGTCCCCCCCCCCCCTTTGAGGGTGAAAAGGACGGGGTACAAATGCATGAAATAAATAAATAAAATCCATAGTGTATTGCTTAAGTAACACTTGTTTTCTAAAAAGGTATTCTAAATTGATTCCAAAATGTATTAAATGAGGCTACCACAGTAATTATTTATGAATTATATAGGAATTAATCTGCTGAGGCAATGTTCCATATCTCTGATGAATTGGGCTGTAGCCCAAATAAAATTTGCTGACTTTTAACATGCCATTTTTTGCAGGAACTGACTTACACAGCTACCTCCCCTTGAAATTGGGCATTTGGGGTAAATCTACATTGTAGAAAGGATGCAGTTTGACACCTCTTTCACTATCACGACCCAATGCCACGTAATCGTGGGAGTTTTAGCTTTTCAAAGTCTTTTGAACCTTCTTTTCCAAAGAGTGCAGGATGCCACAACACTCAGCCATGGCAGTTAAAGTGGCTTCAAACAGCATTAATTCTCTTGTGTAAATGCAGTTAAGATGAAGTGGGAAGATATTATTAAGCCTACAAAAATCACCAAACACTTGGTTAAATCTAGTCTTCTTCAACTTCCTACTCCAATGGTATTTCAAAGAACATTTTTAAGACTGAGAAAAGGGGGTACTGATTGGCATTTATGTCAATTGATATTGTATGTGTTATTGGTTTATTATTTTGTTATTTTAAATTGCTTGTATTGTTATTATTGCTTGCATTGTTGTATTTTGGGCTTGGCCTCATGTAAGCTGCACCGAGTCCCTGGAGAGATGATAGCGGGATATAAATAAAGTGTTGTTGTTGTTYTTATTATTATTATTATTATTATTATTATTATTATTATTATTATTATTATGTGCTTTAATAGATTTTAGGAGCCACAGTGGCACAATGGATTAAACCCTTGTGCCAGCTGAAGTACTGGRCTGAAGGTTGAGTTGCTGACCTGAAGGTGGCTGGTTCAAATCCATGAGATGGGGTGAGCTCCCATCTGTCAGCTCTAGCTTGCGAGGACATGAGAGAAGCCTCCCAGGTAACACATCTCGGTGTCCCCTGGGCAATATCTCTGCAGATGGCCAGTTCTCTCACACCAGAAGTCACTTGCAGTATGTTCTCAAGTCACTTCTGACATGATAAAAATAGACTTTCAATTGTTTCTGCAATTTAATTTTAATAGTCCTATYTTTAATTCTATTTTAATGTTTAGGTAAAGGTAAAGGTTGTCCCCTGACATTAAATCCAGTCGTGTCCGACTCTGGGGTGTGGTGCTCATCTCCATTTCTAAGCCYAAGAGCCGGCATTGTCCGTAGACATCTCCAAGGTCATGTGACTGGCATGACTGCATGGAACACCATTTTTTTGTTTAATGTTTGTATTTTTATTCTATTTTAATGTTTATATTTTCTGATTTTAAATTGTACTTTTTTAAAACATTGTTATCTGCTTTTGAAAAACAAAAAGTAGGATATCAATAATAATAAAAAATACTAGAAGCAAGCATATATGAAAGAAAAGTGATGGAAGATTTTATTTTATTTTTAGGATTGTACAGAGAGGTACAACTCAGGAATTCAATCTGAATGCATATGCTACCACAAAGCATTTCATGAACAGGAATGAAGCCGAGTCTCAAAATACCAGAACTGGAAATCTAAAAGTCCCAGGGACAAAGTGGAATGCAGAGAGCATTATCTGTTGTTGTTTCCTGTGTCTGCTTCTTCAAGGCTGCTTCAGAAGAAGCTTATCTCGTCTTGATAGGCTGCAAATGGTTCCAGCTGGCATTCGCGGCTCACAGTTTTACACAACAGGCCGAGGTTGCTGGGTCATCAGGACACCAAAGCGTTTCTTGATAGTGATCCGATGTCGGGAATATTTGTCATCCGGGGAGAAACGGGCAGGATGGGCTGAGCATGTCGGCTGGCCATCTGGAGCCACTTTCTGCAAAACAGAGGATGCAAAAGTAGAACAATTTATGAGGAAATACTCACAGCATAGCTATGCCAGGCCTAAGAACTATATATTTTGTATATAATTATATATTTTATATTACATGTAATATTACTAATAATATTACAATATAATGGTGTACTACAATATAGCAATATATAATACTGATATTGTACTGTGCCAATAATTTAATATATTGTATGTATATATATCTTGTAAATGACTCCCCTTCGAGGTGAGAAGGGCGGCATATAAATGTCATAAATAAATAAACAAATATTCCCAGTCAGCATGTGTGTTATAGTTTCAAAATGGTTCAAACAATCTGAACCAATTTTCATTGTCTTGATTCAACTTCTTACATTGTTTAATATTTATTTAATATTTCTCACTGTTTTATTATTTTTCATTTGGTTAAACGGATTTCACCATACCCCTTCTTGACATTATATGACATGAGGAATATAAAAATGTTACAAAATAAATTGAAATGACTCACAGCTCATCCACAATATCTCCACTAGCATTACTCCACAAACATGCTGCCAGCTAGAAACCAGAATCAAGGTAAAGGTTTCCTCTGACATTAAGTCTAGTCGTGTCCAACTCTGAGGGGTGGTGCTCATCTCCATTTCTAAGCCAAAGAGCCGGCATAGTCCATAGACACCTCCAAGGTCATGTGACTAGCATGACTGCATGGAGTGCTGTTACCTTCTCGAAGAAGCAGTACCTATTGATCTACTCACATTTGCATGTTTTTGAACTGCTAGGTTGGCAGAAGCTGGGGCCCATAGCAGCTCACCCCGCTCCCTGGATTTGAACCAACCTTTCGGTTGGTTGGTTAAATAAATAAGTCCCACAGCTCAGCAGTTTAACCCGCTGTGCCACCAGCCCCCCCCCCCAAAAAAAAAACCCAGAATATGAACAAGTAATTCTACATTATATTCTATGCTGAAGCGTATTACCAATTTCTGTGAATTATACAATGGTTAAGACTGCTTAAGATTAATACATTAACAAACACAGTTGAAACAGTACTGTGCATGAATTACCTTCAGAAACGAGAATGATTTAATCACATTATGTGAGCAAGTACAACGCTAGTATATGCTGTATTTTATAGGACATGAACAATTTCGTTTTGCTAGAAATTTTTAGCAATCATTTTTCTGCTCAGCAGAGAACTGAAAACATTCTTTAATGTTTGTAGATTAGATGTGTGTAGAGTTTATAGGACATGGACTAGAATGACAATACGACTGGCGAGACTGTTTTTATTATTTATTGTTTTAATGACTGCTTATGTACTGTCTAATTATGATTTATGCTTAATTGTTGTTCTATTATTGTGGTTGTTATGGATTGGCATCACGTCAGTGTCCAATGTATGGCATTGAAGTTTTGCCAGTTATGTGTAAACTGCTTTGAGTCCCCCTAGGGGTGAGAAAAGCGGTATAGAAATACTGTAAATAAATAAATAAATAAATATTGGTTGGAAATAATATGAAAAAACTAAATGCCTATGACTGGCTGCTGGAAGCTCCACGAGTATTTATTGCACTGTGTATATTGCAAGGCTCTTTATTATAATCATTGTACATAACCGACAGCTGGCACACTGGATTAAACCGTTGAGCTGCTGAACTTGCTGACCAAAAGGTCGCCGGTTCGAATCCGGGGAGCAGAGTGAGCTCTCGCTGTTAGCCCTAGCTTCTGCCTACCTAGCAGTTTGAAAACATGCAAATATGAGTAGATTAATAGGTACCCCTTCTGCGGGAAGGTAATGGCGCTCCATGCAGTCATGCTGGCCACATGACCTTGGAGGTGTCTATGGACAATGCAGGCTCTTCGGCTTAGAAATGGAGATGAGCACCAACTTTCAGAGTCGGACATTACTGGACTTAATGTCAGGGGAAAGCCTTTATCTTAACTGACAGTTGAACCATCTGAACTATTTATTTACAGACTTCATGCAAACTTGGAACCCAGGACGTACTACACAAGACAAGCCATTGTGTTTTTATCGGTGAACCTGGGAATTATCTGATCTTTGAAACATCGTAACTATTCCATTACGGCGCTGAATTGGTGTAAGCCTGCCATTGCTTCAGACTCAATGGACCCGTTTAAACCTGTCCACTCAATTGTCTGGAGGATCCTAAAAGTAAAGTAAATGTTTAGCCATGAGAGAATTTGCCATAGAAGACAGTCCCAACAATGGTACATAGGCATTCTGATGGTTTCCCTATAGCTATGGATTAAGTTTGCCTTTAAGATTTACTTCGCCGTCCTTCCACATTAAGAGCCCCCGGTGGTGCAGTGGGTTAAAGCGCTGAGCTTGTTGACCGAAAAGTCGCAGGTTCAATTCCGGGGAGTGGCGTGAGCTTCCGCTGTCAGCCCTAGCTTCTGTCAACCTAGCAGTTCGAAAACATGCAAATGTGAGTACAGGGGCGGCTCAACCCATTACGCAAAGTAAGCATTTGCAGTATAGTTGATTTTGCCCAGGGGCACTCTTGGGGGAAAATAGACCTTGACATATGCAAGTTGTAGTTACTGGGATGTATAGTTCACCTACAATCAAAGAGCATTCTGAACTCCACCAATGATGGAATTGAACCAAATATGGCACACAGAACTCCCACGACGAACAGAAAATATATATCAGTGATTGGTTAGGGGGGGGGGGGCCAAAATACTGTTTGCTTACCGCTGAAAATTACCTAGGGCCGCCCCTGTGTGAGTAGATCAATAGGTACTGCTCCGGCGGGAAGGTAACAGCGCTCCATGCAGTCCTGCCGGCCACATGACCTTGGAGGTGTCTATGGACAACGCCAGCTCTTCGGCTTAGAAATGGAGATGAGCACCACACCCCAGAGTCAGACATGACTGGACTTAATGTCAGGGGACAACCTTTACCTTTTTTTACCTTCCACATTTGTGGATTTGATAATTCCCTGATTTGATTGAAATGTCATCTCTAGGAATCTCAAGGGGCCCTTCCACACAGCTATATAACCCAGAATATCAAGACAGATGATCCACAATATTTGCTTTAAATGGAGTTATCCGAGTCCATGCTGCCATATAATCCAGTTCAATGTGGATTGAACTGTGTTGGTCTTCCAGTGTGACTCAAGGTTAAATTATGGTGGAAATTACCATATGCAAAATGGCAAAAAAATAAGCTTTGCTTTCTGGAAATTTTGCAATATTTTCAAGCTGTGGAAGGCTGCATCCTTGGATGCAAAATTTGTGGATATGGAGGGCTGACTGTAGTATAATGGTATAGAACAGGCATAAGCAAACTTGGGCCCTCCAGGTGTTTTGGACTCCAACTCCCACAATTCCTAGCAGCCAATTGTGGGATTTGAAGTCCAAAACATCTGGAGGGCCCAAGTTTGCCCATGCTTGGGAGTCTTAGTTTAGTGAGACCACCAGCACTCTTTGGCATAGAAGTCTAACAACTCCAACTCCTAGCATTGAGCCATAGCAGTTAAAGTGGTATCAAACTGCATTAATTCCACAGTGCAGATGCACCCAGAATCAAACATTCACACACCCCCAGGGATGCAAAACCCTTACCTTGAGGGTATAAACCCTGTCCCCTCGCTCATCCAAGTAGAATTGCAGGAACATAGCTGCAAAATCCGGAGCAAACGACTCTTATCAACAGGATTCAGATTCCAAACCGATTTCCCCTTCCCTTCTCCTCCTGCAAACCACGTGCAAACAAACTCCACCTCTTCCTCCCATCCTCCAATGAGCAGGCGCAAAACAAAACTTCCCTGAGCATTCTGGGAGCTGTAGTCTTTCAGCCTTCTTGCCCAATGCCTGCTGGGATTTGTAGTTTTCCTACTGTAAACATGCACTCGTGCAAAGAGAATCTGTTTCTCCACCTGTTGAAAGGATCATCATTCTATCTTTCATCTAGCATTCTTTTTATTCTCTCATCATCTAATTCTTTCAACAGTTTTTAAATAGGTTTTCCGATTGTTTTGGAAATAATGTAGGGGGGTTGAATGAAAAGTAATGCCTCCACCTTCGTTGCTTGGCTCCTATGAGGAGCGGCTTAAGGAGCTGGGCATGTTTAGCCTGGAGAAGAGAAGGCTGAGAGGAGATATGATAGCCATGTATAAGTATGTGAGAGGAAGCCACAGGGAGGAGGGAGCAAGCTTGTTTTCTGCTTCCTTGGAGACTAGGACGGAACAATGGCTTCAAACTACAAGAGAGGAGATTCCATCTGAACATGAGGAAGAACTTCCTGACTGTGAGAGCCGTTTAGCAGTGGAACTCTCTGCCCCGGAGTGTGGTGGAGGCTCCTTCTTTGGAAGCTTTTAAACAGAGGCTGGATGGCCATCTGTCAGGGGTGATTTGAATGCAATATTCCTGCTTCTTGGCAGGGGTTGGACTGGATGGCCCATGAGGTCTCTTCCAATTCTTTGATTCTATGATTCTATGAAACGCAGAAATAATCCTTAGAATGTGCTCTTTAACTACCACTATTCACTTTTCCACAGAATCACCAGACAATTGGATACATTTCTGCCAACGATGAACAAGTTTTCTGAAGCCATCACGGAAGAAGTTGACACTTGTTTCCGCAACCAGCGTCTCACAGTTCTCTCATCCTGGGTACCCATCGTGCACAGATCTTCTGATAGCCAAGCAAAGCAATAATGTGACCCACACATTCTTGTGAAATGCCGATTATGCTTGAAATTTCTCTCTGAGTGATACGACAATCGTCCTGAATCCATCTGTCAACCTTTTGCTTGTGAAACTCGGTGGTTGCTGTCACAGGACGTCCAACTCTTTGTCACGCAAGTCAGATGTTCCCACCTCAACATCTTTAAACTTACTCGCCCAATGACGCACAGTACTCACATTGACACAATCGCCAGAAACAGCTTGCATTCTCTGATGAATCTCCTTTGGGGTGACACCTTCTGCTGTCAAGAATTCAATGACTGCACGTTGCTTAAGTCGCATTGACCGACCATCTGCACAGGGTTCCATACTTCACACTTTAACAACGCAACCATTCAATGCTAAGGCTTCCCGCCAAAATGGAACTGTAGAGGAGAGTCTACTGAACATGCCAATACCTGCCGTATACCAGTACTGCCATCTGTTGACGAGTTCCGAAGGTGGAGGCATTACTTTTCATTCAACCCTCGTAATTTGACTTCTTTTTTTTTGGCAAGTCAAGCTTAGCGTGCATCTCTATACTGTAGAAATGTAGTTTGACACCACTTTAACTGCCATGGATCAATGCTGTGGGATCATACAATTTGCGTACGGCGAAAACACAGTTATGTTCTCAGTTTTGGAATTCAACCCTACACTGCCCAAGTCTCAAGTCCTCAACAAGGAGCACTTAGTTTAGTATAGGATGAGGGGCCTCCCTTCCAATCATGTTTCCTGAATGACAGTTGGGAATGTATCTATTTTGTTCTCTCTTTCTGTTCTCATTCTGATTGGTTGTGTAGAATGGATACTTTCCTCCTTGAATCTGCCTTCTGCCTTCTTACACTTTAGTATGGAGAGTATGTGCCACCGTATGTCAAAAATAGTTTGGATTCAGTTAATTTAGGCCCCTTCTACACTGCCATATAATCTGGATTATCTGCTTTGAACTGGATTATACGAGACTACACTGTCAGATAACCAGGCCCCTTCTACACTGCCATATAATCCAGATTATCAAATCAGATAATCCAGATTATTTATTTATTTATTTATTTATTTATTTACAGTTCTTATATTCCGCCCTTCTCACCCCGCAGGGGACTCAGGGCGGATTACAGTAAACACATATATGGCAAACATTCAATGCCAGTTTGGCAAACAACATTTAACAGACAAATACACCGAGGCTATTTAACTTTTTTCTGGCCGCCAGGGGAGCTGCTGCTTTCCATCGTCCATCAACGACACCGATGAAGTTCTTCCGCATTCCACATTCCCCGGAGTCTTTTTTCTTTATGGCCTCATAAATTAGTTAAATTTAGCCTCCCACACAAGGTGGTACCTTATTTTCCTACTTGACAGATGCAACTGTCTTTCGGGTTGCAAAGGTCGACAACGGGCTACACAATGGCTGGACACCCACTCCAGCCCGGGCTGGCTTCGAATTCATGACCTTTTGAGTGATCTTAATGCAGCTGACACTCAGCCAGCTGCGCCACAATCCCGATGAGTCTACACTGCCATATAATCCAGTTCAAAGCAGATAATATGGCAATCTAGTAGGGGCCTGAGAACAGGGAAAGGAAAAGACAGAATCTTTCCTTTCCCAATAGACCAGTGTTTCTCAACCTGGGGGTCGAGACCCCTGAGGGGGTCGCGAAGGGGTGTCAGAGGGGTCGCCAAAAACCTTCAGAAAACACAGTATTTTCTGATGGTCATGGGGATTCCATGTGGGAAGTTCGAGCCAATTCTATCGTTGGTGGAGTTCAGAATGTTCTTTGATTGTAGTGAACTATAAATCCCAGCAACTACAACTCCCAAAAGTCAAGGTCTATTTTCCCCAGACTCCACCAGTGTTCACATTTGCACATATTGAGTATTTGAGCCAAGTTTGGTCCAGATCCACCATTGCATGAGTCCACAGTGCTCTCTGGATGTAGGTGAACTACAACTCCCAATCTCAAGATCTGTGCCCACCAAACCCTTCCAGTGTTTTCTGTTGGTCATGGGAGTACTGTGTGCCAAGTTCGGTTCAAATCCATTGCTGGTTGAGTTCAGAATGTTCTTTGTTTATAAGTGAACTATAAATCCCAGCAACTACCACTCCCAAATGTCAAGGTCTATTTTCTCCAGACTCCACCAGTGTTCATGTTTGGGCATATTGAGTATTTGTCCTCAATTTGGCCCAGTGAATGAAAATACATCCTGCATATCAGATATTTACAACTTATAATAGTAGTAAAATGACAGATATCAAGTAGCAATGAAAACAATGTTATGGTTGGGGGTCACTACAACATGAGGGACTGTATTATGGGGTCACGGCATTAGGAAGGTTGAGAACCACTGCAATAGACAAAGGCACCTTCTGCACTGCCATATAAAATTGTGATTGTCTGCTTTGAATGGGATGGTATGGCAGTGTAGAAGGGGCCTCAGGCTAAAGCAAACTGCTGCAACCTATTCTAGATGTTTCTCAGGTGTTTCCATTTAAAATAATATTATTGTATGGTTTGAATTTTGGATGGGGAGCCTACCATTGGAATCCTCTCTCAGCCAGTTTGTGATCTTGGCAAGACACACTCTCTCAGCTTCAGAGGAAGGCACTGGCAAACCCCTTTGAATAAATCCTAGAACAGAGTCACCATAAGCTGAAGTCAACTTGCAGGTGCATAACAACGATCTCCACAAAATTACATTCACCATGAGAGTTAAACTTGGTTTAAACTTGTAATATAGATGTACCTCGCCCTCCAGTGGCATAACACTGGGCCTACAATGAGTTGCTCGATGTCAGAGCAGACACCACGAGTCAAGTCTGTGGTCATAAACAACTCCTGTAGCTAACCCCTTGCTGTTTTGTCTTTGACCACATTTGGGACACATGTCACCTTTGGCACCATTTTTGGGGAGACGTGGTATCAGGGGAGGTAAGTAATTCTGGCGTGTTTCAGAGCGAGTAGATGCACCACACATCACGGTCAAAGGGAGAACCAACAATGCCCAGAAAGGGTGCCTTGGCTCACTCTATAACATGTAATATGGTATGGATATATCATCTACTGACCTTTTCTTTTTTGTAGCAATCATCTATTCCTCTCATCAAGTTGTTAAAAGCCCAAGAGAAAAGTTGGAAGTCCTACTTGGGAATGCTGCTTACCTCCAGTGGAACACCCATTCATTATAGTGGTAAGATGTACTCACCCAATTCATGATCTCCCATATTATGGGCTCAAATAACAGTATGAAGCTAGAAACCATGAAAACGTCTGTAGAAAAACTTTAACTTCCTCCCTTCAATGGAACTCTCAAGGTGCTCAAGTTCTGGAATGGTTATCATCCAACCCTTGCCCTTAGAGTCACGTCAACAATGTGGGATCTTCTTAGAAACCAAATGGTGGTGTTGTGAATCCTCTAGAGATCCCTCTTCCCCAATTTGTTTTTTGCCAACGTTCTCACATCAGAATTTCAGGTGGCACAAGGACAGGCCCCAGCTCCTTTCCTTCAGGGTCCTTCACCCTCAAGGCCATGTCTTCTCAGGTCCACCCTCCAGGCCCTGCCCTCTCTTCCTGCCCTCCTAGTGCCCCCTCGCTGCTTCTGCCTGCCTTCCCTGGAGCTGCCCTTCTTGTCACCTCAGCCGATGCCCCAGGAAGCAAGCTAATCATCAAGCTGAAAAGAGAAGGACCCATAGTGGGCAGTGCGGAGGAAATGCCTCGGACTCAGACGTTCTTCCTCACAGGGATGCCACTGGGCTGGGCCGCCCAACGCCGGGATGGACTTCCAGGTCCTGGTGTTCGCACAGTGTTGCTGACCAAAGCTGGCGAGGAGCCGGGCGGTAGGAAGCTGAGAGTACCGGAGACTGTGCCACCTGCCCGAGCACCGCCTTCCAGTGACACTTCCTTTGCTTGTACTTCCAAGGGGGTTTATGAAAATTACCGGCGTTGGCAACGCTACAAGGCTTTGGCGAGACGTCATTTCCCCACTACGCCCGATGCTGAAGCTCTGGCCTGTTTTTTCATGTGAGACTCTGGGTGGCAAGGGTCATATGCC